ACTATTAACTTTTTAGCTTCAGCTATTAACTTTTCTGCTTTCTGCTTTTAGCTAGCTTATAAGTTAGGTATACCAAATAGAGCCGAGATCATATTGAGACTTATCTTTAGCCTCTTTTTGCTAGAGCAAGTCTATCAATGATGTTTTAATTTTTACAGGTTTTGAGGCTAATGAATTGAAGACGAGAGGTGAGAGGAGAAAGAAGGAAAGAACATAAATTACTTTTTACTTCTTATATTTCTCTGTTTTTTTTTTTTTTTTTTTTTTTCATATATAAGAGGGAAGCAAAACATTTTAATTTTTATTTTAACTTCTCATATTTTTTTCTTTTTTTTTCTTTTTCCTCTTTTCATCTATTTTTTTTTAAATATTATTGACTTTTATTACAATGTAATATTTATTTATATATACTTTTTTAACCTATTAAAGTATAAAGAGATAAATATACTCACTAAAATTCGAATATGTAACCTTTCTTCCTCTATCTTATTTTGTTTCTTAAAATTTGTGTAAAAATCATGACTCATGGATGCTATAATAACTTTATTTATTTATTTATTATAGTATAAGTTAGTTTGGGATGGGCGTTGTGCATGGTATTTGGTAGTGTAATCATTGGATACTGAAACTTCTGGACCACCTATCTTTAGACTTTAGCTTCATTTCCAAACTAGCATTATATGTGGTGTAACTCATTCAATGGACATTAATGGATGGCCCCCATATGATACGTCTTGTCTCTCTTTTTCTTTTTTTTTAATATTATTTTTTATTGCTATAAACTCAATTTTTTCAAAATAAAATAAAATATAACTTGGAATTTGTTTTACCAAATGCACCGACACTTTCATCTTGCGTAAGTTATCATCATTGATTTTCGACAATCTATAAACCTGTTTGTTAAAATGGAGTGTTTTTTGTATTTTATAGTGTGAACTAAAATGTATGCAGTGTGCGTATATAAATTTTTAATACATTGCATTTTGCCTAATAATACATCACTTTTCACTTTTCAAAAAACTGTTCACACAGGTGATATTTTTAAATGGGTCCAATTTATGGTGTTATGGATGGAATGATGAAACAACAAAACATCTGAAGAAATTTGGTTCAAATAAAATCTCGTCTTATAAAATGAAATACTAAGTGTTAGGAGGACTCACCTAAAATGTAATTTAATTTCAAAATAGTAGTTCAACTACAAATTAAAAAGAATTAATGGAAAAACAAAAAATAATAATAATATAAAAATAAATTACTCTCAACATTTAGTACTCTAGTATATTTACACTTTTACACTGCTCATGAGTCATGATATACTAATCAAATTGGGCTCAAGTTTTGATGTTATGGGTGGGAGGTTTAAGTAACGAAATTGTGAATGAAGCAAATTTGCTAATTTTAGTTATAGTAGGACTTTTTAAAATGAACTAGTGAACCTTTAGAGAATTTGTTTAAAATATAAGTGGTTGGTGGCCATATTTCCCCCCCAAAAAAAAAAAACTAATGAGAAAAAAAAAAAAAAAAAAAAGAGACAAAAGAGAAGGAAAACAAAAGTCTAAACGGATGGCGGTGATTGAAGAGGCACAAAATTGAAAAACGGCACGCAATTGACGAGGCATAGCATGAGGACGCACGCTGCCCCAACCTCCTCCATGTGGGGTGGGGTGTATGCCCTATTATTTCGTCATCTTACCTAACGTATATTCCTCCAACTCCACATGCAACTTCTTCCTTCTTTTTTTCTTCTTTTATTACATGATAAAAAAGATATAATCATAAACTTCCTATATTAAATATAATCTTATTATAATAATCCTCAAAAATAAAATAATTAAATACTCACGATGAGAACTTATATTTTTGCATGATCACAATGTTCCAGGATATATATATATATATATATATATATATATATATATATATATATATATATATATATATACGTAGAAGAGTTACAATACAACAAGAAATAGTTGAGTTGTAAAACTCCCTCTCAAGCTGAGGGTAGTCGAACAATCTGAAGCTTGTCACCAAGAAACGAGAAATGTGGGGCCGGAAGAGGCTTCGTAAAGACGATATTCCCTAGCTGGTCCTTAGTGGAAATAAAATTCACTTGAATCTCATCTAAGGCCACCTTGTCCGAAACATGCTTAGTATGTGCCCAGGAACACGACTAACATCAAGCTCACGCAACAATGAAACAAGCCATGTGACCTCCGCACAAACATCCGCCAGGGCCTTGTACTCCGCCTCCGTAGAAGGCCGTCCCGTGCCGCCATTTTCTGCTTCTTGCAAACCCGCGAGATAAGATTAATTGAAGACCAGGCCAGGAACACAACAAAACCACTTGTTGATTTCCGATCAGTGGGACAACCTGCAACCTAATCAGAATTAGAGAACGCGTGAAAATCAACGAGGAAAATTCACACAAAGGCATGCCCTTTGGTTAGCGAATCTGTTACATTATTCTTTAACCTCACATAATCAACAAAAATAACACCTTTGTGAGAAATTATTTAATAGTTATTGTGTCTACGACGTATATGCCTGCGAGGAGTTTTGACAACTGAAAATTAATGAAAATGAAAGAGTAGCAGAAACCTCGTATTGAATTTGTTAAAGGTCATACGGGCAGGATATGATGCCGGCGTATGTAATTATACCACGTTAGTTACGTTCCAGCTTGTAATTAAAGTAATATCAATTTGTGGTTTGAAAATGATGGAGTAGCTCATCAGTAATATTCTATACTATCAATCAGTATGGAAAACGACATGGAACTTTAGTGCTTCACAATAGTAAAAATTTGGTTGTGCATATCGGATTGGATGTGATGGGATAGGAAGAGACGAGAGTGTACACTGCAAAAGGGAAATTGCAACGAAGGCACTCGGAGTGTTGTTTCCGACTAGGTCCAATTGTATTGAAGTACAATTTAATTAGTTAATTAATTTAAGAGTTAATACCATCTGAGGTCCTCTGAGTATAGTAATTTTGTCAGGTTCAGTCCTAAACTTTCGAATTAATCATTTGTGCTTCTTCGACTTTCAAATTTAACCATTCGTGGTCCAAATTAACCACACATGGTCCTTCAAGTTTCAAAATTTAACCAGTAGTGGTCCTCATGAAGGGACCATGAATTGTTACAATTTAATAGTTGAAGGACCATGTGTGGTTAACTTGGACCACGAATGGTTAACTTTGAAAGTCGAAGGACCACATATGGTCAATTTGAAAGTTTAGGACTAAACATGGCAAAATCACTATACTCGGAGTACCTTAGATGGAATTAACTCTTAATTTAAAATAAGTTTATTATTAAGGTATATATATATATATATATATATATATATATATATATATATATATATATATATATATATATATATATATATATATATATATAGAGAGAGAGAGAGAGAGAGAGAGAGAGATGCACTCAGGTGCGAATAAGTGCCCAGGAAGGAATATGCGAACGAATCAGTGCGCGACACGTGTCCAGATCTAATAGCTTAAAAATACGCGGTGATATTTTCGTAAATAATTGAACATCGAAGTGCAAGTAAAATCACTTACAAGTGTACCTACTTTTACCTATAAGTGCATGTAATTTTGCCTTGTTAGCATTCACTTCCATCAAACATTCATGTACCTGGGTGTGCTTATAACTATAGGTGCAACTATTTATAAGTATAGGTGCAACTACTTATAACTATAGGTCCACATACTTTCACCTATAAGTGCATGTAATTTTGCCTTGTTAACATTCATTGATCTGAGTTCAGCCGGTAGTAATACCACTAAAAATCACCTGCAAACATTCATGCACTTAGGTGCAACTACTTATAACTATGTGTGCAACTACTTAGAACTATAGGTGCACTTAGTATTGATGCTCGGTGTAAATTTTTTACTTGCACTTATTATACATTTTACATGCACTTATAATACATTTTACTTGCACTTCGATGTTCAATTATTTACGAAAATGCCACCGCGCTTTTTAAAAAAATCAGTGTTTCTCATCCATTAGATCTGGACACGTGGACGAACAGAATCTATTCCTATTTCGCTCCTGGGCGAAGCATTCGCACCTGAGTGCAATTATATATATATATATATATATATATATATATATATATATATATATATATATATATATATATGGAATTTTACAAATAATTTAAAAACAAAGAGTTATAAAATGATTTATTGTGGATACAAGTATATAAGCATTTAGAAACTTATGAAGTTTGCACCTAAAAAAATTTAGAAACTTAAGAGTTATATTACTTGAAACATAATTTGTGATTTGAATAAATTTTATTTTTGGTCCTAGATTTATATGTGACAGTTTATTTTTAGTCTTTTTTTATTAGACCATCCTCATTTGATCCTAGTATTATTGTGACATGATCATTTTTAATCCCCCGTTAATAAAATTGTTGAAATACTGTTAAAGTTAAATACAAAGACATTTTGATCTTTTTTTTTTTTTTTTGTTTTATACAAAATAGGTTGACCCAATATATCTTTTTATATAATTGAAGACTGAAATTCCCTTGTATTTAAAGATATTTAAACTATTTTGTTGATAAATAACTAAAAATGGTCATATCACAATAATATATACTATGACCAAAAATAAATGTTCTGATAAAAAAAAAAAAGATTTTGATTGTCACCTATAAATCTAGAACAAAAAATAAAAATAACTCTTTGTGATTTATTTCCTCTGTCAATTTTTATAAGAGCATTTGAGGACTTGTGAATTAGTTAAAAGGATTTTACATAATTTACCAGATCATCAATCAACTTGGATATTTGAGATTTGCATTTGGATTAGACATATTGTATGTAAAAGTATACAATTTAATATTAAATCTGAAAATCAAATTAACTAAATTTACCTTTTAATGAGCCTAAACTGGATTCATAAAGTTTAGGATACAGTAAAATAGGAGAATTATTAGTATGTGAAAAAAAGAAAAAAGGAGTACGTGCAGAGTCAGCAACATAAATAGGACAGCTCATGTGATCCCTTCAAAATCTTCTTTTCCTTGATGATATCATCAATCTCAACACTCCTTTCTCCTCACTTTCATACTCTTCTTCTCCTTCTTCCTAAACCCATTTCTCTTTCTCTCTCTTAAATTTTCTGCAGATTTACTTCCACAACTTATCATCTGCTCGATCTCAGCTATCAGCAATGGCTCCTGAAAAGGTATGTATGTGAATCTGAGTCTCATCATCTATCATCAGTTTCTTTGACCATATATTCATTCAATCTTTGTATCTATGTACCATATATGATCTTCACCTTTATATATATATAATATAATCAGTAAATTGGTAGTGTGTATATATTGCAACAGACCACTGTGATGTTCCTGAGTGTTGATCTCAAGTGCTCCAGCTGCTACAAGAAGGTCAAAAAAGTCATTTGCAAAATTCCTCGTAAGTCTCTAACACCTATATAGACACATATCTGTGTATATACACTTTGTGTAATTGAATTAAGTTGGATCTATACATAAATAATGGTAATGTATGTCAGATTTGGTTTCAATTTTTGAGATATCTAATATATTTTGCTCATCAACACTTCCACTCTCTTATATTTAATGGTTTTTCTTATAAAATAAATGTTTCTACACTATTACAAAATACCCTTTAATACTTTACAAAGTTACATGTTTTTTTCTAAAATAAAAATTAATTATGGAGGTGTGGATCCAAATATTGTTAATAATTACATTATAGTACACCACCTGAAAGTGATCTTAAATTAAGTCGAAAGCCTTGTTCCGACCACTTTTGTTATCCGGAAAAACCTTTGTTGCTATTTCCGACCACATTTTGCAGTGGTATCTGTTCATACAGAACAAAGAATCAATACCACTTTCACTAAGGCTCAATCCCATGACCTCCTACATGAAAGAATCACTACATGCTATATGAGCACAAGATGCTTGATACAATAAAAATATCATGTATAATTGTATATGATACCTACAAATTTGTAGAGTTCCATACTTAACTTTTGTTGTAAATTTTTGGACAAAAGAAATCAGAGACCAAATATACAATGAGGAGGAAAATAAGGTGAGGATCACAGTGGTTTGCTGTAGCCCTGAGAAGATCCGTGACAAATTGTGCTATAAGGGAGGTGGTGTGATTAAGAGTATTGAGATTGTTGATCCTCCCAAGCCACCCAAACCTGCTGAAAAGCCCAAAGAAGCTCCAAAGGCTGATAAGCCCAAAGAAGCTCCCAAGGCCGATAAGCCCAAAGACGCTCCCAAGGCCGATAAGCCCAAAGACGCTCCCAAGGCTGATAAGCCCAAAGAAGCTCCCAAGGCCGATAAGCCCAAGGACGCTCCCAAGCCCGAAGCCGATAAGCCCAAGGATGCCAAGAAGTCCGAAAAGCCCAAAGATGCCGATAAGCCGAAAGAGGCTCCCAAAGAAAAGCCCAAAGGTCCTCCGGCACCGGAGGGGGTACCGGTGCCTATGAAGCAACCGGAGCCAATATCAAATGTACCGGCTCCGGGGCAAGTGACGATGATGTCAGTTACTCACGGATTTCCACCACCGATGTACTGTTACGAGCCAAGTTATGAATGGTATGGAACACCGGTTGCACCACCTCCACCACTGCCACCACCGCGGCCGTGCTACGACAGTTATCCAAATTGGTGTCGTTGTGGACAGGCTAGAGGCTATTATGGGGGGTGCAGATGCGATAACACATACTTTAGTGAAGAAAATGAATCTGGGTGCACAATCATGTAACAATAATAATAAGACTTAAAGGTCATGATCATTGGGTTTAAGTGCCCTACTTTTTGTTCCTTTCTCAAGTCCGGCCAAACACATAAGTGTCTTTATTATATTATCTTTTTTCATAAAAATAAGGTTAGTGGCCAGGTTGTTGCCTGAGTCGTATACTCGTATTGCATATATTGTATATTTAAATTGGTTTCAATTCTTTGTTAAACTAATAAAAGCCTACATTAATCATTGACTTTTGCATCATATCATGTTCTAATCTTTCTTTTATTTCGACGTTTTAGCATTGTTTATTTTAATATCCAAATATTTATTTTGAACCTAAGCTTAATCTTGTTCAAATCCAAATAAATAAAATCAAGTAATAACGTTTCCTTGCCCATAATAATAAAGTTTTCTAGTCATACCAATCGAGGAGAGAGCAGTGGCGGAGTCACAATGGGGGCAGTGGGGTCAGCTGCCCCCCCTCACCTCTTTCCTTTAATATATATATACATGTATAAGTCACTATGTAGTTTAGTTGCTTAGTTGATTGAGCTTTGAATTTGACATTAAATGTCATGGGTTCAAACCCTCTACAGCAATATTGTGTGTATATTTTAGCTTCTTTTATTTATTTAAACACTTCTCACCCTTCAATAAATTAAATATTTTGTATACTATTTTTGTGTGTATATTTTAGCTTCTTTTCTCTATTTAAACCCTTCTCACCCTTCAATAAATTAAATATTTTTTAAGTCTATTTTTTTGGTGAATCGTTTAGTTAATGTAGTCAACAAATCTTATATATAATAAAGCCCATAGATTTGGCCAATCAAATTGCCCCCCAAATCCCGCCCAAACTGTTTTGGGGGAATTTTGGCTTTTATTTATTTTTTCTTATTTTATGGAACTAAGGATATCTAGGTTTTTTTTAAATATTTTTTGGATTTTGAATTTTTCTGATTTGTTTGTTTTTTGATTGGTTCTTTTTTATACAAGACTGATTTTTGTAATCATTTGTTCTCTGTGAAACGTGCGTGTTTAGGTTGTTGATTTTCAATGTGATCTTTTGTGTATCTAGACTAATTCTAATAATTTTGTATTGGTTTCGAAGAGTCCTTCTACTGCTTGCCGGCGCATGCCTAACTTTTAATCATGGGTTTTACATCTCTAATACAACTCTTTAACAGTATAAATAGGTAGGTTGTGCTAATGTTCTTCCACTTCCGATCTTCTTCTTCCCTGTAAACCACTCCAAAAGCTTCTTAGCGTTAACCATGCCTGGCCAGTTTATTCTTTGCTATGAAATCCATCCTCAGCAGACTTCTAAGGCAATGCGTTTGCGTCTGGTGCGTACCTATTTGGCATTTGAAGGAACAGAAGAGAAAGTCATTAGAAGTCGTGAATGTGTGTTTCATGATTCGGCAGTAAGTAATTTTTTTTTTCCTTTTGTTCAAAGCAATAATATTTTTAGTAGTTGCTATTAGTGTCTAATGTTCTTCCCTTTCTTTTGCTTATGTAAATCTAAGGGGAGTTTCATACATGATCAAATACCTAAGGATCAAGTTCAAAAGTACAACTCTTACTTTCAAGAGGGCAGTGTCTATGTGATTAGAAACTTCTTATGCATCACCAACTACTTCAAATATAAAACAAGTGATCACAAGTATATGATCAAGTTTAAGTTTGATACTACTGTTAAGCAGTATAGGCGTATTGATTTCCCAGATTGTATATTTCGTATTAAAAGTTTCAGGGCTGTTTTGGATAAGGATGGTGTGAATGAGAATGAACTATTTGGTAAGTTTTTTTTTTCCTTTTCTCTTTTCCTGTTTACAATACCTATATTTCTGTGTTATAATGGTTCTATGTTTGTTTGTTTTTAGATGTAATTGGAAGGGTTGTGGAGATATATTCTCCGGTAGATAAGGTTATTGGTGGAAAAGCTACAAGGTTGTAGATTTTGTCATCGAAGATGCTGAGTAAGTTCTTCTAGCACACTCTATCTTTTTCCACTTTTATCTTATTTTTTACTCAGTTTACTTTTCCCCCTTTTTTCAGAAAAAAACAATTGCAGTGCACAGTGTGGGGTGGACATGTGGAGCTTCTTATGCCTTACTTTAATCTGGAGTTCAGTGATCCTGTTGTTGTTTTGGTGCAACTATGTCGTGCTAGGTTCCTTCAAAGTGAGTGTGTGTCTTCCTATACTTCTATATTTTCTCTATTAGGGTACTTACATTTTATGTTTACAATTAGATGGAGAGGTCAGGATATCTAGCTCTTTTGATGCAACGCAGTTGATTTTTGACCATTCATCAAAAGTGTTTGCTGATTTCAGAAAGAGGTATTTCTATATAATTTGTAATCACTTATACATTTTTTTTTTAGTGTTGCACCTATGTTCTTTATTCTTTATTTTTTTAATCTTTTTTGGGCAGTGTTGGCAGTGACTACACACCCCTTAGGTGTAAACAATCTGATTCTAGGTTTGGCCTTAGGTTGAATGTGCCTATGGTTGATAGTGATACTGTGGTTACTCCTATTGCTGAATTATACCAGAAGCAACAGGTATTATGCTACTTTTTCTGCACTTTAACTCTCAATTTCTGCTAAAGTGTTTTTTTTTTTTTTTTTAATATTAATCTTTCGCTCTACTTTTGTTGGTGTAGTTGGGTCAATTCTGGGTTGCTGGGAAGGTCCTAGGTATTGAGAACTACTTGGACTGGTTCTACTTTTCTTGCAAGAATAATTCTTGCAATAAAAAGGTTATCAAGTTGGAAAATGGTTTAATGCATTGTCCGAAATGTCTAAGGTCTTGGGGTGAGGGTATTATGAGATATAGGTTGGTCTTGCGTGTTGCTGACCAGAGTGGGGATGCTCCTATGCTCGTGTGGGATCGAGAGTGTTCTCGATTGATTGGCATGTCAGCTATGGAGTTGAGGTCTAAGTACTCATAGATGGTTGATTTTGTTCCAGTTGAGCTTCAACAACTTGCTGGAATGGTTTTGTTGTTTCGAGTTACTGTTACTAAGGACCAGCTCCAGAGTTTGTAATCACCATTCCATGTACTTAGTGTTTCTACTGATAATGAAGTGGTTTCCCAGCACAGCTCAAGTGTGGTGGTTGACAATCCATTGACACAAGTTCCTCAGGGTTTAGGTCCCCTGGTGGATGAAGGTGATGGTTCTGAGGTATGTGATTATTTGGTTCACTCTTTAATTTTCTAAGGTTCTAGGTTGTTAATGTTATTTTATTTTACTGGATTAGGACTTTTGTGTATTGAATGATGAGGATTGTGATGGACTGGATGCTATTGACAATGAGTATTGAATGTATCTAATTCACTCCCTCTCAAGAGAAGCCTTCTGGAGGAATTTGAAGACCAAGGAGTTTCTAAGAAGTCTAAGGCAGTCACTATTAAGCAGGAGAAGTGAGAAACTGTGTAATGTAGTGTTGGTTGTTATTTTGGGATTATCATCTTTGTTTGCTCCTGACTGTTATGGACTCTCTATGTTTTTTTTTTACCTATGTTTGTTGTTGTTGTTCTTTAGCAGCTGTATTTTGTTCCTATCTAATGATATTTACCTAATGTTTTTGTGCCTAGGATGGTTTGTGTCAACAAGTTGTTTAATATGCTACCAGTAAAATCTGTTCTTTAAATTGTAAGGGTTACCTTGAGTCTACTTCTTCAATGTTTTGGTTGGTGGGATCCCCTTCTTCCTTTAACCTTTTTGATTTAAGTGTGGTTGCCCTTCTTACTTCAATGTTCTTTGGGATTGCCCTACATTCCCCAATAAAAAAATAGTTAGTTCTAAAAGCATCATTTTTGTCTGTAATGTTAATCCTCTACTTGAAATATGATATACATAGTCATGAAGGGAGTCAAATTCTTAAATTATTATTTTTCCCCTTTCATTTTTTAGCTGGCTATTTAACTTCTGGATTCCAGTGTTCTTGATAAACATGTAACTTATATGAAAAAAAAAAGAACATGTTAATTCTGGTATTAGAAAGGAGATATTAAGTGTAGCTTATATTTGGAATTATTGTCTAGGTTTTCAAATTACCACAACGAAGAGTACAGTTGTTACCTACCAGCATCTTGAAGTCATTATTCCTTATTTTCCTCCCTTTTTTTGCCATGCTAATGCCCTTGATAGTCCAGTGATCTTCATTTAGATGTGCCTCACACAATCACAAAAATCAAATAAGTTTTCTAATAAAAAATACAGTGTAAATGTAAGATTTGATTGAATTATTCTAAAGGTTTGGATGTAATAGTTGATAAGTGGTAATTGAATTGCCCACCTGAGAATCCAGACAAATTGATGGCTTCCATCCTCTACTGATGCCTTTCTCTCTCAAATGGTGCATTTTAATAAGGTGAATGCAATAAAGACATCAGGAACATAAGGGTGTTCAACATCTCCATCACAGCAAATGTAATTTTTCGTATAGCAAATTCTCTCTTTCTTTTTTTATAACCTCTTTGGCTTCATGTGTTGGTTGATTGTGATCTACCAAAAACAAAGTGAAATGTAGTGTTACAGATTCTGCTATATGAGTTGAAATAGACCAGTCATATATCTAGCAGATATGTCACACTAATATGGTATTAGACCTTACTCAGACAGAAGAATATAACTATGCAAAACCAGCAAATGGTCATTCGTACATGCTGTTATCTTAGAAAGACAAAACAACTGAGGGTGTGTTTGGTTCGCACATAGGAATCGGAATTGGAATGGGTATCAAATACTTGGTAATGGTAATGGGTTTTGGTGAAAGTATTTAACATGTTTGGTAGTAGGGTGGAATGGGAATGGTTACTAATAGTAGTGCTTGAAAATGAATAAGGGAATGAAACCTTTATTGTATTTGGGTATGGGTTTTTCAATTGATGGGGTATTCGATATTCGAAACCCATAGTAATGTTCTAAAAGCCTATCAACCAAACAACAGCAATCACTTTCATACCCATTCCTATGGGCAAAACCCACCAACCAAACACACCCTGAGTAATTATCATCAGATACCATTGAAACAATATGTTTCTATTTCCAGTCAACTAATCTTGCTTCACATAATTAGAATTTTATTATTGAACCAATTAACATATACAAATTGAGAGTGATATCAACTAAAACATTCACATCTTGACCAATGTTCTCTATGAAGCTGAAATCAATGAACAGAAAAGTTTCTATAACTTAAAAATTTGAAAATATGGTTTCCAAAGCTTACAACACATAA